CAAATGAATTATTGATATGAATATCGAAGTTTTATTAGTAATATTTACTTTTTGGTATTTGTATTTGACAACTTATTATTTATATGTTATTAAATTAGATTACGTTAATTTGTAAAAGTTAAGATTGAACTTGGTATTTGTATCTACTTTTTGTTATTAATGTTAGTATCCACTTTCAGGTGTATTTATGTAGTATTATTTTAAATGTTAAAAAATTTAATTATAGTACGGAACCGAACGGAACCGAACATAACCGAACTGAACCGAAACCGAACGGTTCCAAAATTATATTTGGAACCGACGGTTCCATTTACTAAATACCCGAAAATTTTTGAAACCGGAAAAAATCGAACAGAATCGAACCGAACCGAACCGCGCCCACCCCTAGTAACTAAATTTTTAATAATTCGATACATCAACTTTTGTTAGCAAATAAAAAATGTTAAGACAATACGCTAAACTGACGTCAACTTTAATGCGAGTCTTCCAATTTATTCATAGGGTTAATATACAAATGTGTGAAAATTTAGTGAAGAAACAGCTCAATTCTTGCATTCCTCACCCCTCGTTCGTTGCCGTTCAGTATCTACCCATTCTATCGAAACATTATCCTAATTTCCAAAAGTTTGGGCCAACCGCTAACCAATGTATACACGCTCTCCTCTCTTTAATTTGCAGTGTAAATTATCATAAATTTATGTGTGTATCAGAAAGAGATAATAACACAAAACATGGCATCAAAAACTCATATTCTAGCACTCCCTTTTCCTCTGCAAGGTCACATTAATCCTATGCTACAATTATGCAAAACCTTAATCACCAAAGACATTCGTGTTACACTAGTCACAACTGTTTCCATCAGTTCATCGCTACAAGTCCAAGCCTCCACCACCAGCAACCTCATTAATATCGAGACAATTCCCGATTCCACCCCCACCAGTGAAGGGGACATCTATCAGGTCTTTATCGACAACTTTAAAGAATCAATCACTCAGGGATTGCCTCGACTCATCGAAAAACATAAGCAGTCGAGCTACCCTTTGAAAGCCATTGTGTATGATTCGGTGCTTCCATGGGCTTTGGACATAGCTCATCGGCTAGGCCTCAAAGGGGCAGTACTTTTTACACAGCCCTGTACTGTTTGCTCAATCTTCTATCACATGAAACAAGGGACACTCAAGATTCCTACTGAAGACGAGGGCTCTGTTATAATGTTGCCTGCTATGCCACCACTCAGATTAAAAGATTTGCCTTCTCTTCTATACGACATGGGCGCGTATACATCTCTTCTTAATCTTCTTATAGATCAATTCTCAACTTACCGGAATGCAGATTGGCGCTTGTTTAACACTTTCGACAAGCTTGAAGATGAGGTAGGGCTTATCTATTGACCTTTAATTACAATTTACAACTAACATATTTTGTTGCATATCTCTTCTTTAAATTTATCCAATCGAGTCCTATCCAATATACCGAATGGAAATACTAGCTTTATTTTCGAGGAAAATGTGACCCTTGTTGCTGAACTTTATCCTCTGCAGATATTGAGATGGATTGCAAGCGAAAGTCCGATTCTGACAATAGGTCCGACTATTCCACCGTTGCACACAGACGACAATGAATATGGCCTCAGCCTGTTCAAGCCAGATGCTGAAGCTTACTTGAAATGGCTGGAGACAAAAGAGAATAGCTCCGTAGTGTACATTTCATTTGGAAGCTTAATCACCCTCGGAGAAAAGCAAATGGAAGAAATAGCCCGGGGATTGGTCGAAAGCAACTGCTTCTTCTTATGGGTAGTTAGAGCTTCCGAAGAGAGCAAGCTTCCGAGAGATTTTGTTTCGGAGAAAGGTCTAATAGTGAATTGGTGTTCCCAGCTTCAAGTATTGGCTCACCCAGCGGTGGGGTGCTTTGTAACACATTGTGGGTGGAACTCGACTCTTGAAGCATTGAGTTTGGGAGTGCCTATGGTGGCTATGGCTCAATGGACAGATCAAACGACTACGGCCAAGTTAATTGCTGATGTATGGCAAATAGGGATCCGTACTAAGGCCGATGAAAATGATATTGTAACAAAGGAAGAAATTGCAGGAAGTATAAAAGAAATAATGCAAGAAGAGAGAGGAAATGAGATTAGAAGAAATGCCAGAAAATGGAAGCAACTGGCAAAAGAAGCAATCAATGAAGGAGGAAGCTCACACAAGAGTATTACAGAATTTGCAATCCAACTTTCAAGAAGTTGAAGTTTACCCACGGCATGTTTGCTATGCCAGAGTCGACAACATCAGACAGGGTTAAAAGGATCAAGTTTAAATCTACAGTGTTGTCCTATGTTGTGTTTGTTCGTGAAATTTCACGAGTGTATGGATCGTGACAAGTAATAAAGTGAATTTATCAAATCCGAATATCGTTCCACATAGACTACTATCTACTATAAAGTTTTAAACTAACCTATCTTTAATTTAAATTAAACCGGTAACTAATGATCAAATCAAATTGTGTTTTCTAAACGAAGTTCTAATAAATTAAATTACAAACTCAAATTGAAACTGTAGATAAGATTATTTAATTGGATAGTTAGGATTTTCGAATTCACTTAGGTCATTTATCATACATTTAATTCCAATTTATTCAACCATTTTTCATACGTGCCAACGATCAAATTAACCTGATGTACTAATGTAGTCAGTGATCTATCTCGAGCAACACTAATCATATTCATATGCCCAAACTTAATATGCCCAAACTTACTATATCTATGTGTAAATTCAAACACATATAAACGCATTTATCTATAAGAATTCAACATGGATCGCATAGCCTATAATTATCTCTCAATCTCTTATAATATCTATGTTAATTATTGCATGAGCTAGAATTACACATCACCTCTCGGTCTCAGTATTATCCCTAAATCAATCAATTGTTGCACAGACAATTAAAGAATTAAATACTCCGCTAGCAAGCAGTTGTTTTTTTCTCCCTCCCATGTAATAGATATTACCTATTATTCTCTCACTTGGTTGACAGTATCACTTACTATTCTTTCCGTATGTGTCGAAGATGAACAGGGCTAAGCAACTGCTGAAGCAGTGAAGTCGAACTTCAGGCACAAAGACTCTCTCGTTATGTTTTGTAGTAAAAAAACACAATAATAAGGCAGAGCAATAAGGGAAAAGATGTAGTTTATAGGTGTTGTGTCGCTTAGTGACGGATCTAGTTTGATACTTGTTAACTGGAAAAGCTCCCGGATTAGTCTTCCACAATTTTCCAATCTTGAATAGTAATATGAAATACCTAGGATACTTCGAGGGATCCCGTCCTCCTTATTAAGGCAATTCGAGGTGCCTTGGACCTCCTTAATTCAACACAAGATTGAGATGAAGATACTTTTCTCGATGATTTTATTGATAATAATACTTGCTTAAATAGCCATATGCTTACAATTATTAAATGTAGAATTACATAATTGCTATGTAACATAATTTCTTTCATTCTAAGAATTATTTTACTTGCCTTAATTGTGTCCCATGAGTGCCGTCCATTTCCATCTTGCAATCCCTGTAAATGTGCCACACTGCCACCTTGCTTTGCAATCCCTATGAATGTGCCACCTTGCCAATTTTACTTCTAACAATAGGTCATTGTGCTTGGTCTCAAAGACTGATTTTTCTACTTCTCCTAGCTTTTCTCCCCCTTTAAATTCACTATTTTGCACCTATATTTATATATACAAGAATGATGTTATGTACTGACCTATTCTTTGCTTCTCCCAAACAGAAAGGTACAGATGACCTTACTGCTCAAAATAGTGAAATGAAATTGGAGTTGTAAACATTGGAAAGACAAGTGCACTTAATAGACGGTAAGAGTTTATCCTTAGCTATCTTTGCGGGAAGATTTTGGTTCCAATCTTTCTTTCCATCTTCTTCACAAGGAGGAAAAATTGAAAGTAAAAGGTGCAGACTTGAGATGACACCGACCTCAGTGACTAGGCTGTTTCAACTTTCACACTTTTGACCACTCTCTCATTTGAACTTTTGAAATTGTTCCTAAAAGTAGATGTCCTATGAGTGTTGGTGATGCCTCCTGCAGCATTCTAAACTGGGCTGCAAGTAAAGAACAACGTGATTTCGAATATCCTGTGTTTAAAATACAAACATGCAGACATGATTTTATTCTAGGCCAACTTACTAAAAGGTCATTTTAGATTATTTACTGGTGCATCATCCTTCTCGAAGTGATATTGAAATCATTGAATAGGTGAACGATTTGTACTTCATCAATGCATTGAATGCAACGGAATTCAATTCTTAGCCTTTCTCCAGAACTTCGATTTTTTTATTTTTTTTTTTTGATTTTTTTTTCCTGGTAGACTCGAAAAATTCCTAAATGATGTTTTCTACCCTTCTTTTCTTCTTAAAAACATAGCACTGGATGAAGCAGTAAGGGAAGAGGTCCAGCATCTGGAAGTGCGGATGGGTCGATCAATTCAAAATGGCGAACCTATTGTTGGGAAAAACTACTACAACACAAAGAAACCTGAGCTCTCTAACAACAAAAAACCAGCCACAGCAGAATGATATTTTTCCCTCTTCGTGTGTCAAAAATGGATGATAAATCAATCAAGAAAATAAACCAATATGCACCAAGCAATCACAGAAAAACAACACACCAATTGTTCACGTGGAAAACCTCCAAGGCGAAGGGAAAAAACCACGAGGTGACAGTAAACCACCCACACTCAAACCTCCACTATAAAATAATGGGTTACACAAGTTTCTCTCTAGATAATACTAGAGGTACATCCAAAAATCACAAGCTTCACACAAAAGTGGATTTAAACAAATATACATCAAACTAAAGGTTTGGAACTCTCGACAGATGAAACAGTACAAGAAGGGAATCGACGATCCAAACCGGTAGATACGTAGCTTGAGTTGTCGACAATGATATACTGAAATTTGAGAAAGATCGGAGAAGGATCCACCGTTGAATCTTACAAACAACCTCTCTTCCTATCCTTTTCTCTTCTCCCCTGTTTTGCTTCTCTGTTTTCTTCTGTCGGTTTTCAGCTTGAATGTGTTTGTGTGTCTATAACCGCCTAAACACACCTCCACTTATGCACAATTATGTTTTGTTTTGTTTTGGGCTTTATTTGATTGTCTTGGGCTTT